GGGGTGTCCGGCGGCCCGAGGCCGCCCCCAGGAGGCGATGTGCGGGCGCGCTCCCTCTGGCACCCGAGGAGCGCTGCCAGGGTCGTGCTCCGACCCTGATCTCTCGCGGGCTGCGGCGTGTCCTCCTCGCTGTCTGCGTCTGTGACAGAGCTTTCAGCAAGGTCCTTGATCTTACGGCGTCTTTCTGTCGCTTCCTCCTGGAACAGTGTGATCTGAACTGCAAATAGCCGGTGAGCTACCTCCGCGAAAATAGATGGTTTAGTTTGGGAATACAGGTAAGCAGCAGTTCTGGTTGTGTTTAGCAGGAAGCTGCTGTAGTTAAAGAGTTTGTGCCTAGATTCCCACCTTGCACTCCCACCACCCAAATAACTAAAACTTCTTGTATTATTTTCTTTGTTTCTTCGAATTCTCAATAGTTACGTGAAAAAGCCACTATTTGCTTTTCCCTATGATGGTTACCTAGACGTTGATTAAGAATGGAGTTTAAGCTAGATGTTCTTATTTCTACATCTGTAAAGCATAGAAAACCATGGCCTCGCATCTCATGGATCGGACAGGTAAATGTAATGGATATTTTTTTTATTTAAATGAAAATTTGCAAAGAGTAGGTTTTTAATTATTTAACAGTTTGCATTTCTGTGTACAGGGAGTGTGTGTAAAAAAAAAAAAACCCAAAACAACAAAAAAACCTCAAGAAGTGTTTGAATCTGTCCTACTTAAGAGTTATTTATTTTCTGTTGTACTGATTGGAGGCACAAGATTAAAAATTTCTCAGATAAACAGTGGGGAGTCATTTGGTTTGGTTTTCCAAAAGACCTGTACCTTATATGAGATTGGTGTTTTGATGCTTCTAGTTTTTCGTAAGCTTTTTTACAGTACATTGTTGGAATTGTGAACAAAAGTTTTGTCCCGTACCATCCTGCATCTGTTGAAAGACATGCTTTCTTAAACTTTTTTGATAATTTTTTTTATCTTCTGTTCTGATGAATGATTAGAGTTTAAGTAGGTAACCACTTAAGACCAGTTCCTTCTTCTGTTGAAATCACTGGCAAAATCTCCCAAAACACTACAAGAGGAGATAACTTGTGTCTAATTTGTTGTTGTGTTGTCATTTCTTGGCAGGTAGTAGTTTGGTTGAGATACTTAGAATGATTGCAAAATTAGTTTGTTTGAAACCTGTGAACCAAATTCATTACCAGTGTAGGGTGATGCTAGATGTGATGTAATGTAAAGCAAATGTACCATAAAATGGAATTGATACGGTAATTGCAGCTGTAACATGGTTTTTTTTCCCCTCCTTCTTTTTTAATTATTTTTCCCTAACATTTTTCTTTGCTGCCCTGTTTTCCAGGCTTACAAAGAAAATAATATTTTAAAAAATTAAACACTCTTTTTTTTTTTTTTCTCTTTCAAAAGGAGAAAGAGGCTGTTTTTCTTCTAGATGATAAACGTATAAATGAAATTAACCTGGCATCAGGGAAGACAAAGAAGAAAATCCCTCGCCTGCAATCGTTGCTGAAAAATGTAGTTGTTTTAACTACATCAAGAAATGGTTAAGTACAATATCTTAATTTATAAACTCATTTTATTTGTAGTTTTAAGAGTTTAGAAAGGTAGAATACCTAAAGGATTCACTGTCTGCTTTAGAACTGTGGCTAAGATAGAAGGGAGGTAATTCTAAGCACTTCATAATAATATCCTCAAAAACATCTCTTCTCTGATGAACACAGGTGCTTGGTTGGCAGGAATACTTACAACAGGATATCTGTTTCTTTGGAATAAAGATCAGGACTGCTTGAAAATTGTGCCAGCAATTGAAGAGTCTAGGAAAGCAATTGCAGCAGCACAAGGTAGGTTTTTTCCAAATGGTGTTTTGAAAACTGGATTAGAGGAACAGTGGTTTTCTTATTGTTAAGTGTTAGTGTACAAGTAGAATCTATATTTTCACGTTGGCTTGCATTTGTCTAATTTGTGTGCTGGCTAAGCTTTGACAAATTTCCTAAATGTTACTTGAATGGTACAGTTTTCTGTGTTTAGTTATCTCCTGTAAGTAGTAATTGATTTTTAAAACCAGCAAGTGTTTTATTTTTTAATGGTTAGTTTTTAACTGTAGAAAACCATTCCTTTCTAGGCTTTGAATAGCATAGAACAGACATATATGTGATGTAAAACCTGTATGCATAACTTGAAGTTTATTCTGTAGGTAGATTTTTATGACAAATGCTAACTGAAGAGAATAATGTAAAGGCACGTATTTGCAAACTGAAGTATGAAGTATTGTCATGCACTGCATAATCTCACTGATACCAGATTGTAAAGTGAAGTACTGTATGAGCAATTATATCATTTCAGGGATGATCAGTAGTGCTTTTAGGTACTGTAAGTAATAGACAGTGGAGCACTTAAGCATTTTCATGAAAGATGGATTTCAAGAAAGATGATCATGGGAAGCAACTCTACTAACTGAGTCTTGTGGGGAAGATAATTAATAAAATGCATAAAAACGGGTGTCCTGTCTGACATGACTGCTGCCTCAGGTCTGTTCTCAGTGATGAAACTGAAAATGAAAGACACTTAAGGGTAGCATCTTGGATTTTGTGTGATAGAGAGGAAATTTCCTTTATCCCTTTTAATTCTAAATCTGACAGAGGTGCAGAAACTATTCTGGCACATTCTTGTATTTGTTGTGGTAGTCTTGCTCTTTTTTTTTCCTCAGAGTGTTTAATGAGATTGTACTTGTATGTATCCGGAGATGGCAGAAAAGTACTACTAACTACTCCTACAGCATGTGCCTTTTTATGGGAAAGCACAGAACATGAAAATACATCTTCTTGTAAAAATTCTTCTCCTGGGCGTTGGACGCAGATTTTGCCTGATGAATCAGTCCTGTTGCCTTCTACTGAAGAAAAAGAAATTGGAGTGCATGCTGCTTTCTTACAAAATGAGGTAAAAAATAAGCCCTAAAGCAATCACTTAATCTCATATCTAAATTAGAGCCACAGATGCTGCGGTGAATTTGAGAGCAATGTCTGCCTTTTCACCTCTTTGGTGTTATACATAAGCTTATTAGTTCAGTTCATATTGGGTTTAGTGACAACATAAGAACAGCTGTACTGGATCAGATAAAAGTTTACCTGGCCTAGTAATATTCTTGAAAACCTTTATATTTCTGAATGACATTGTTACTTAATCTGAACTGTAATATCAAGTTATCTAAATACATAAAAAATTACAGAGAAAATCATGTGTAACAAGGTTTTGGGGTTCTGGTTTTGGTTGGATTGTTTTTTAGTTGTTTTGGGGTTTTTTTATTTTTTTCCCACAGATTCTGGGTGATTGCTGTTTGTGCTCTTTTGTGTTCTACTCTGCAGAACATCTGGTACTCACATTTTTGGTTATTCGGTGGCATGAAAATAGTTTTAAATATGTTAGGTAAGTTCAAAGATACTTGAAGTTACTTAGTTTGAGGAAGATGGTTGTTATGGAGTGCTTTAGAGTTGGGATTTTATTTGTTTTCCATTCTCCTTTTCATCATGTATGCCTAGACAGGAGTTTGTGTCTCTTTCTTTATCTGGCCTGAGACCGTGTACTGGAATAGTTGAACTGATACGACCCCTTAAAAATGCAATTGGAACAATAATCCTGAGTCCACTCCATGTATAGTCCATTCTTCTTCCTAAGTGAGATACAGTTATATATAAGATTAAACGGATGTGTCGTTTGCAAGTATAACTTGAGTTACTCGTTAGAAGCTTTCCCTATGCTTGACATAGTACAGCTGCTTTTGTTAATGATACTTTTTTGATACTGGTGTCCTCCTTGTTCTATTAAGCTTCATCACTCTTCACTCAGTTTGCCAGTAGCATGCTAATGACTTTCTGTTAAGACAAAAAATGAGATAGCCCAGAACATTCCTAACTGTAGAAATGCATATATATACACCATAGTACTTGCAGCCTGAAATGGTTACGTTTCTCAGCTGTGTTACTTACAATTTCTTTATGCCAACTATCGCTTGTTTTTGTTTACTGTTGTTTAATACACTTTTTCATATTACTGCTTTATTTTTTTGTGTTAGCTGGCATGCTTCCAGATGGAATCTTTCTTGTGTTTTCTATCATTTTTAGAATCTTTCTAGGTTCATGGAATGGTTTGGGTTCGAAGTGACCTTTAAAGATCGTCTAGTTCCCACCCCTCTGACATGGGCGGGAACAACTTCCACTAGATCGATTTGGTGGAAGCCAAACCCAGCTTCACTTTGCACACTTCAATGATGGGGCATCCACAGCTTGTTTGTTCGGCGCAGCATACTGTTGATTCTCATTTTTGAATTCTGAATGGCTGTGTTGGATGACGTTATACTGTCTGAGGAAGCTATTCTTGGCTAGAATGCAAGTGCCTTAATTATATGACGTACATCTATATTTATTTGCATGTTCTATATGTATAGCTCAAATTCCCATCCCATAAAAATAATTCTCAGTGCTCAGACATAATTTTAAACTTGTGTAAATATGAAATATTTTTCATTTGTAAGGCTTTTGAAGAATTTTTTTTTTTTTTTTTTTTAATTGTTCATGCTTGATGTGTGTTTTATGTGTTTAGGTTTTTTTGCTATGTATGAATCATCTTATTCAGCACAACTGAGTAACATCTTGGTCTTGTCTTTTGTTTTGGTACTCAGTTCTTTGCCATACCAGGTCCAGTGGGTACAACAGACTTGTTCTCTTCTTAATTTGGTTCCTCAGTGTATGTCTGTCAAGTCAAGAGGAGCTTTGCTGTGTGCATTTGCAAGAGATGGACTTCTACTTGCAGTAGCTGTTAATCAAACCGATCCAAAGGTATGGTAGACAGAATATCATTTAAGCCAATAGTCCAATTTGAATGAATTGGTAACAAGGGTTTAATAATGCATTTGTAGGAATGACTTTTCATCATTCTTATTGATACATGTGGTTATATTTGTGTTGAGATCCATAGCTAAAATATTCTGCTACAACTCGCAGTATTTTGAATGCTGTTGTTCAGTTAAGAAATCCATATAAGCTCCTCTGACATTTCCAATCTCCAGGAAATAAAATAACAAACTAGTTTCAGATACTGCACTGTATCTGCAAAGAGTCAAGATGATTCTTAGGCTGGGGCCTGATTATCATGTCTTGGAAGTTATGTTCCCACTTCGTACTGTTATTCCTTCATGGGATTCACCCATCCGCGGGTCCTGAAGGAGCTGGCGAATGAAGTTGCTAAGCCACTGTCCATCATATTTGAAAAATCATGGCAGTCAGGTGAAGTTCCTGATGACTGGAAGAAGGGAAATATAACCCCCATTTTCAAGAAGGGGAAGGTGGAAAACCTGGGGAACTACAGACCAGTCAGTCTCACCTCTGTGCTTGGCAAAATCTTGGAGCAGATTCTCCTGAAAAGAATGTTGAGGCACATGAAAAACAGCGAGGTGGTTGGTGACAGCCAGCATGGTTTCACTAAGGGGAAATCCTGCCTGACCAGTTTGGTGGCCTTCTATGATGGGGCTACAGAACTGATGGACAGCGGCAGAACAGTTGACATCATCTATCTGGACTTGTGCAAAGTATTCAGCACTGTCCTGCACAACATCCTTGTCTCTAAATTGGAGAGACATCAATTTGATGGATGGACCACTCAGTGGATAAAGAACTGGCTGGATGGCCGCACGCAAAGAGTTGTGGTCAGTGGGTCAACGTCCAGCTGGAAATCAGTAACAAGTGGTGTC